TCATGGTGCTGATTCATAATCTGCCCCTTTTTATTCACAGTGTTGATAATGGATAAAATAAATAAATTCTATTGAAATCAAGTATTTAAATAAATTTGTGCATTTGAGTTTCACAAGACACCAATTTTAAAAAAAGTTTTTCATTTTATATTTATGCATTTAATATTTTTTTGAGTTTATATACTGTAAATATATAAACCCCTTTTGCATTGGTGTTTGTTGATGCGCAAGTGGGATGCATGTATCCCTGGAGCAAAACATAGGAGCAAAATGGCGTAATTAATTGATCGTACGTCGATTTATGCAAGCGTATTAATTGGAAATGATTGTGAAACTTACTTTAACAAACTAATCTTATCTGACGAGAGGCAACTTCCAGATCCATATGGAATTACAGAGTGGGAGAAAGACTTCACAAAGTGGCCCAAAGTGCAGTGGCTGGACATTTATCTGTATTTAGTGGGAAAACCTATTGCTTATACCAGAGAGAAACTGCGAGCCTACAAGTCTTTGGGTGCTTACAGTTATGTCATAAGCGGTCATGTGCAGAGGATAAAACATCATGATATCGATCCGGAGTTTTGTGTTTTTAGAGCAAATGTCCTGCCAAGTCAAAGACAAGGACACAAAACAGAAATGTACGACACCTGGGCCATCGTCAACAGAAAGGAGAACTACATCCTCACAGCGAATTGCACTTGCATGGCAGGGTGAGTTGGTCTGCTACGATGTCCTGTTGCTTGTTGACAGTAATTTGCCCATGTTAGCATAAAGGCATAAAGGCAATAGCCTAAGCCACTCAAACTGCATACATTTTACAGGCAGTGCTACTAGCTACAATGCAATACAGCAGCCTTTAATTTACAATAAGTGTGGTTTGTTAAGAGAGAAATGGAGAGGAAAAAGTTAGAGAATTTTAGTTGCCCTGTGTGAACAACCTTATTGGGTTTAGAGCGTAAACAGAAACTACTATTATAAGTCGATGATTCTTTATAAGTCAATGATTCTTTCTTTCCGCTTGATGGCTTGCAGCCAAAGGCCCCCTCTATGTTTCTGAAATGGCCTGTTTCCTCTTGGAATTAAAAAAAATTAAACAGCGTTTCCTTAGAGCTCTGATTGGTACACCTGTACACGCAACAGCTTGGCATATTGATACTGTATGAAGCACAAAACACGGTAATCCTCACATCTCCCTGTATGAATTCCCCCTGGTACTGGAAACCACAAAAGTGTCAAAGATACCTGAAACAGGGTTGTTGCTTGCCACTACTGGCCAACCATTATTCAGGACACCAACGAATGAGTAAGGCCTTACTTGGTAAATCAGAGCCTTTACATGAACATTTATCTATAATTATGCATGAATGTGTTTACTTGTGTTTGCAATTATGACCTTGAAGTTATACACTTTTGGAATGGTAAAGAAAATCATAACTGACCAAGGAAATAAGTTTGTGAACAAGGTAAAGTTTTGCATTTTTTTTCATACATAGATGCAGTATATTATATGATAAGATATGATGTATTTGGGCTGATTCTGCTCATGTCACTGCAGCTCAATGACAGCATTTTCAGCACACTAAATATTAAACATTCTGTCTCCAGTGCCTACCATCCCCAGACCAAGGGGCAGGTAAGTATTTGGATATATGCCCTCGAATAACTGCAGTAAAATCAGTCCTGATTATTTATCTATTTCACAATACATTCCAATTCAAAGGATGAAAGGACCAACCAGAACATCAGGCATGCTCTCAGGAAGTAAGGCAACCAGAACCATGATGACTGGGACATCCACTTCCCTGCTGTGGTGTATGGTATCAACACTCTGTAGCAGGTTGTCTTGCATTCACATTTAATATGACATTTTGTATTAGTTGTAAGATACTTTTCAATGTACCATCTTCTAAGAATGTATTTTAAATTAAGTTTTAAAAATAGTTATTGACAAGTGCCAAAGAAAATTAATTAATGGTGAAAATCTCTGTGATCAGCACTCCACCCACCACAGTCCTTATTTCCTGCTCTTCCACCGGCATCTGCGTCTTCCTGCTGTGATGAAAGCCTGTCCCATGAAAGATGACTTCAAGTTGAGACATCAACACCAGAGTTCAGGAAATGACAGAGTGACAGAGAAGGGGGTTCATCGTCTAGCGATTTGAATTTATCATAAATGTCCTAAAATAATAGAATTATATTATGACATTTATGCACTTGTTGAAAGGGCACCACTTACCTTTTCTGATGGGAAAGGACAAAAACAAAGTTCAATTGAGTAATCATACGTTGAATTAGTCTTAAACATTTTTAAATCAATCTCACATCTGAGGCCGGAATTCTCATTTCAGGGACTTTGCTTCTGGAAGGACCACTAAGAGATGACAACTTGAAATTAAATGGATACTTTATTGACAAATGCCAAGCAATAACATAAATTCAATAAATGATGATTAAATAATGAGAAAATAAAAGAACATCTAATGAATAAATCAAGGAATGGCTAAGACTGGAGGTTAATGATAGTGAGTGAATAAGAAAAAATTTAACCTACGTTAACGGGTTACGAGGATACATTTTGGAAGAGTAATTTGGAGAAACTACACTATAATTAAGAATATAAGCTACTGAATGCTTGACACATCACCCAGTTGATACAGCAGTGTTGAGGGGTTTGCCTACTTATTTGATGCCAGTTCTCAGCGGGCAATCTTGGAATGGGTCAGCTGAAGTTCCAGGCTACCGATCGGATACTTTGGTCCAGTGAAAAGTTCTCCTCTGACACTGGATCTGATGTCGCACTCAAGCACACGGCAAAGGCGCCCTTGGATACCTCTGCACTCCTCTTTCTCGGAACCAGTTGGCAAATGCAACTGATGATGCTGGTCGGTCCTCCGGGCATTCAGGATTAGCTTTTACTTATTATTGGGGATTATTGTGGCTGACTTCAGGCAGGTGGGGATGACTGCTTGGGCTAGGGACAGGTTGAGGATCCTGCAGAAGATGTTGGACAGCTGCTGGGCGCATGCTCTGAGCACCCTCCTGGGTACTCCATCAGGGCCAGGGGCTTTCCTGGGGTTTACTGCCAGAAGCACACACCTCATATCTTCCTCTTTCACAGTGAGCGGGGGGGAGGGGGGCCAGTGAGTGGGGGGGTGGGGGGGCCTGGTGGGGGAGGTGGCGGGGGCAGGACTGGAGTGGAGAAGTGTTGCTGCGGTGGCTTTTCAAAACGGGCAAGCTGTTAAGCTCCTCTGCCAGCGACACACTCAGGTCTCCTGACGTCACATCACAGCCTCTGAAGTTTGTGATGTCCTGTAGACCCTGCCACACCTCCCGTGGTCTGTTGCTGGCGAGGTGGGACTCTATCTTCCTCTTGTAGTCTGCTTTGGCTCTTTACATTCCTCTCTTTAGGTCAGCTCGAGTAGTGCTGTAGAGGGCTCTGTCCCCTGACCTGAAGGCGAAGTCGCGGGCTTTGAGGAGGGAGCGGACCTGGCTGGTCATCCAGGGTTTCTGGTTGGGATATACCCAGATGACTTTGTCCACACACACAGTTCCCATACAGAACTTGATGTAGTCCAGTACAGTCCCTGTGAATGTGTCCAGATCCTGGTGCTCAAACAGCTCCCAGTCTATGTGGTGGAAACAGTCCTGAAGGCTGCTGAGTGCACTCTCAGGCCAGGTGGTGATGGTCTTTGTTGTGGGCCTGGATCTGCATCTGAGGGGGTGTATAGACAATTTCACGCGCCGAAGTGTAGGGCGGCGCCATCGTACACAGCGCCACCGGAAGTTGATGTTTCTCACTTCCTGCCTGTCGTACACATAGCAGACAGGAGGAGGAAGCTAGGAGCGTCGCTATGTCCGTGAAATGGGAACACAGTGGCTGCACTTTAAGTGGGGGTGGCATAACGATCCCGCACCCGGATTCGTTGCGCGCCTGGGATGACAATATGTCGATCTGGCCGAGTGTTACCTACAGTAAGATTTGCGCTTACTTTGTAGAGTCCATGGCAACCGATGGCAAAGCTATGGAAAACCTCAAAGCCTCCGAAGCGTACCAATATCTACACAGCGGCAAAGTCGGATGTGTACTAGCATACAAACATGATGGCTTTGTTTATCTGAAAGCAAACGTCGAGCCCAGCCAGTGTTTGAATAATTCTCCGCATAGCGCCTGGGTGCTGCTCAACGAAAATGGGGATGTGCAGACCGCTGGTTGTACATGTGTTGCTGGACCGGGACGATCATGTAGTCATGCGGCTGCGATTATGTGGAAGGTAAGCACAAGCTAAACATTGCGTGTTAAGTAAGATAAGTAACAATAGTCTTTTTAGCCTTGATTGAAAAGAGCTATCAGTTTGAGATTTCTGGCTTGAAATAGCATAATGTAATAGAGTGTAATATGTCTATGGGTGCTGATAATACAAATGGATTTTATTTCCAAAGAGCATTTCTGTAACCTAGTGAACTGTAAATGAACAGGCTGTGTGTGATGTAGAATTATGGAAATCTGTGAACTCATTTTAATATGTGTGATCTGTGTTCTTCATATTCTTATAGGTGGAAAATGCTGTGAGGCAGGGGAAAACAGGACTTGCTTGCACAGACAGACAGAACAAGTGGAATGCTGGTTCACAAAGGAATGCAGGTCAAAGGAAGATGAAAGATGTACAATTCAAACGACACTACAGGCAGAAAATCTACCAGCCATCGACAACAATGCAATCCTCTACCACAACATCCTCTACCACTACAAATTCAAGACAGGAAGCCCGACTCTTTGGGACTCATGAAGAGTGGAGGAAGCATGTACTAGCTTCACCAATGGCAGGACTTTTCACATGCCGGGTAGTAGCCTCCTGCAACTCTGCCTTGATGCGGATCCCTCTCCCACGACACCACAATCTCCACCACTCCACAATTTGTCCCATGATGACCACCACACACCACTGTCTTGTCGAAAATGCAGAACCTTCTATGATGACTATGTAAACATGCCCACAGCCCAGCTGGAGAACATTGAGAAGCTTACAAAAGCACAAAGCAAAGTACAGGTATGTTGGATCAATAACATACAATGGTTTTGTCCTCACAGGTATATGAAAATATGTTTTGCATGTGTAAAGAAATTAAAAAAAAAATTTTTTTTTCATCCCTTACAGCTCTGGCATGATATGCGTAGAGTGCGCATTACAGCAAGCACAGCTAGAAAAGTGCCAATTCGCTCAACCACCTCACCTGAGAAGTTTTTATCAGAGCATCTATATCCAACCTTCCATGGCAATGCTGCAACACGCCATGGAGCAGTGAGTGAAGAACACGCAAGGCAATTTTTAAATACACAAGGCCATACCATTGAAAACAAAGGCCTTGTGGTGTGCCCAGCCGAACCATGGCTCGCAGCAAGTCCAGACGGAGTGATGAACAAAGAGATGCTGCTGGAGATCAAATCACCTGTGCTGGGGAAGAAGTCGCTCAGAGAGGCACTGGCTACGAAGAATGCTGAAGTCACACCCCTAGCCGACGGACATTACCTCCTTGCCTCCAATGGTCCTAAAGGCTACTACATGCAGGTGCAACTGGGCATGCACTGCACAGGGCTTCCACGTGCATTGTTGGTGATCTGGAACAACACTGAACACATAGAAATCCAAGTACCTTATGACAAACACTTCCTTCAGACGCATATTACAAGGCTGCGCACATTCTACTTCACTCACATGCTTCCTAAAATCGTTGATGATTTTGTCAAGGGGCGCTTACAGTTGTGCAATACATATCTCACTCTTAAATAAGCAATGCACACAAACAACTTTCAGGTTGATTCAACTCTTGTTCTAAGAGTTAAGCTCTTACTGTGACTGAAATGCTCGAATTGTGCAATATGTTCATTGTTTAATACAATTTGATTCAACTCTTGTTCTAAGAGCTAAGCTCTTACTGTGAAATGCTCCAATTGTACAATATGTTCATTGTTTACTTCAATTTGATTCAACTCTTGTTCTAAGAGCTAAGCTCTTACTGTGAAATGCTTGAATTGTGCAATATGTTCATTGTTTACTTCAATTTGATTCAACTCTTGTTCTAAGAGCTAAGCTCTTACTGTGAAATGCTCGAATTGTGCAATATGTTCATTGTTTACTTCAGGTTTAAGCTGTGCAATGTTATATACTGTGTAATTAGTCATTGTACCTGTGTTCTTTTTAAGTTTAATTGCACCATTGCATTATTGCATTAAATGGACCACGACCACTTCCACTCATGTTTTATTGCTTTATTAATTCGTAGTAAGCTGTAACATTGACACTCAAAACAATATGTATCAAATATTGGATGCAGGAAATGTTTTTTAGGTGTTAGAAGATCAAATACAAATTACCAAATTTTACAAAATAGTCCAAATGTCCAAAAAATATTCACAATTGTATGTAGAATACATACATACATACAATTTCTATTTCCAGAAAAATATGCCTGGGCTTTTGTAGACGGGGACACCGTCATGTTTCACACCTCATGACTCATGTGGCAGTCGTATCAGTGGACCCCTAAGGTTAACAAGGCCAGCGCAGATGGTTAAAATCTTATCCAACCTCGGTGTCATGGTGATGGGAATGGTTTGAGATAAAATCCTGAATACCTTCAACCTTCTAATGACCCTCTCTACATGGATGCGGGCATTGGCCACCCGCCTGGTGCGTGTCACCTCCTCATTGGTCAACTGACCACGCCTGTAGGTGAATGCAGGGATGTTTAACCGGACCTTTCTCTCATCGAGCAGGTTTCGAATGGTGAATCCCCGGTCCGCCATTACCTCATCACCAGCCCTCAGGTAGTCCAGAAACCCACTGTCCATGGTGATAAACTTGTCGCTGCTTCTGCCAGCATATCCGTCGGATATAAACATGATGACACCATTGGGAGCAACAGCAACAAGATATTTCACAGTGTTGGTGCTTTTGTAGTGGCTGAAAGTGTCACTTCTGGAGTCAAGGTTTCTAGCCCTCTGAATTGCACTTTCAGCACAATCAATGATGCAGGTGGTTCGAGGGTAGTTCTTCTTAAATGACAAGGGCAAGGTTGCATAAATGGTCTCTCTTGGAAGCCAGGGGATCAAGACTTTGAACTGCTCACCCATAACATCAATCCAGTGACCAATCACTATGCTTGCCATGCTTGTGGACACTCTGAAGCGATGAGCGATATCTCCTAATAATAGGTTTAGTCTGAGTTTCATTAAGGTCATTAGGATTTGGTCGACAACGGGAAGCTTAACCGATGGCTCACTGAAGGGAAGCAATGACGTCACCAAAGCGAAAAACTGTGCCTTACGCACTCCTGTGAACAACAACGACTTGCCATCATCAGTGACTGTAGTGCTAGCCACAGTAGGATAGTTTTCTGCCTCACACTGTGTTGCTTTATCCTCTTTGTTGATGGGCAGTTTTGTTGAGAGGTAGTTATGATCAGCAATCGTTGGATCTTGCCACTGTGTCTGTGCATCCCGATAAATTGGTGTAGCAGGCTCACATGCAGGCGGGCAGGTTTCAGGGACATCTGGTGCAGCAGGCTCACAAGTTTCGGTGACATCTGAACAAGGGATGAGAGAAAACATGGAGTAAAATTAATGCAACTATGGAACATTGCTGTCACTACAGCATCACAATTTCAAACACTCAGACAAAGATACACACACACAACAAACACACTCCCAACAAACACACACACACTAACACACACAGTATGTAGCTAATAAACTGCACTCTGGTTTCTTATATTGGGGGCACTGTCTGATCAAATATTACTTCAATCTGATCACAAATATTTCTGTTATTCCAGGGTGTAGCCTACCAACTCATGTTTTACTCTATGGCAACCTGCAGCGCCCCTAAAACACAGATAGCAAACTGCTAAACTTGCAAGGCTACAATGTTTATGGCAACAATATACAGAGCAACTACAGGTTTGTACACAAAACTGTGTTATGACAAGTTCAAAGTATTAGTGTTAGCTAAAGACAAGCTGAAGCAAAACTTACCCGATTGACGACGACTCCCTTTTCCATGGGGATAGGAAGGGGTTCGCCTTTCAAAAGAACGTCTCCTCTTCTGGGGAGAGCGATTGTAACCCATCCAGAGCTCTGGGAAAGGATTTTCTTCCGTCGGTTTTTTCTCCACAAAGTGGAAGGAACAGACAAAAACGTTTTTGGGTGGTTTCTTCAGGTTCAACGCCTTCAGCCACATCCGCGATTTGTAATCATCTTTTGGCTTCTTGAAAAATGAAAACAACGGGTCGCATGTACAATTCCGCTTTGTGGCTGGCCTGTGGTCAAAACACTCCCGATCAAGCCACTCGTTCAGACGCTTTTGTGAATTTTTGCATCCAATAACGGCGCACGTCCTCCCCGAACTACGTTTCTTTGTCGGTATATCCATGTTTGACTTTCTTCTTTCCGTCTGTTGTTCTCTTTATCGAGTCTGGAAACGCAACTTACGCGAGCTAAGCTACCGGAAGACCAGAACATCATTCGGGAGAATGCGGAAGTAAAAGCGGAAGTGGCGTTTGCCGTTCGCTAAAAAGGTCTATACAGGGGTGAGCATCAGGTAGAGATGGTCTGACTGTCCGAGGTGGGGGAGGGGTGTGGCTCTGTAACTATGTTTGATGTTGGAGTACACATGATCCAGAGTGTTTTCTCCCCTTGTTGGGCACTTGACATGCTGGTGGAATTTCGGCAGTACAGTCTTTTAATTGGCCTTATTAAAGTCTCCAGCTATAACATTAACGCCATCCGAGTGAGTCCGCTGCTGTTCAGTGATGACAATCAGCAGGAGAGAGAGCGCTGTGCTTGTGTTAGCATCCAGCAGGATGTAAACAGCGGTGAGGATCACAACGGTCAGCTCTCCCAGGAGAAAATAAGGCCGACATCTAACAGACATGTACTTGATGTCCAGGGAGCAGTGCTTCTCTAAGATCATGCTGTTGTTGCACCAGTCCTCATGCACGTACATACAGAGCCCCCCCTCCTCTGGTCTTACCGGAGTCTGCTGTTCAATCCCCGCGGTATAAACAGCGACCAGCTAGCTGCATGCTAGCATTAGGGATCCTCAGGGTGAGCCAGGTCTCCGTGACGATGAGAACACAGCAGTCCCAAACGTAGCGGTTTCCCACAAGCTGTAACTCCAGGTCATCCGTTTTGTGAGTGAGGGATCTGGCATTGGTGAGATACAGACTCGGCAGAGGTGGCTTGTGCGGGTTGTTTCTTAGCCGTTGTAGCAGCCCGGACCTGCGGCCCCTCTTCTGCTTCCTCTCCCTCCGCCACCTGTGTCTCTTCCCCGCCCCCACAACAATCCACGGGGAACTCGGTGGCCTTGCTAGCTCGTCTGGGATGTTGTGGTCGCTAGCTTGTCTGGGATGTTGTGGTCGCGGTAAAAGTCACCCGAAACGGCTATCTTGTGCCGGTAGCCAATGTCCAGTAGATACTGCTTTGTTTACCGGTCGTTTGCCGAAGCGAATGCGCACAGAATCAATAGATACACAAGAAAAAAATACGAAAAAAAAGCACTGAAGGGGAGAGCCGTAAGCCGCTGCGTCTGAGCGCGCCACCTTCTTGTTTCCGCCATCTTGAAAAAAAAACTAGGCTGTGTCCGAAATGGCATACTGCCTACTATCTACTTACCTACTCAAGCAGTAGCTACTGCCTACTGACTACTCAAAGATGATTTGAGTATGCCACGGCTGCCCGAGCGTTTACATACAGATGCATACTAAATACCCCAGAATGCATTTCGTGCCGGCCGGACGCAGCGCCGGGAAAATTTAAATAGTCCTACCACAAGCTACACAGAACGACTGCATTCCGGACAAATTATATAAATTCATTCAATAATAATATTTTTTCTAGCGATAAAGTAAATGTTGAAATAGTGGCTGTTTGTAAATTTGTCTTGGCGTTTTCGGAGACCGAAGCGTCCACTTGGTCGGTGTTTGCGTCAGCAGCCCCCCCTTCACGTTTCCAAATTATTGCGAAGTGTTTTCATAATCAACATCTACACGACACAAACCGGGCGGCAGTGGATGAAAAAAATCACACAAACATCTGTGTATCCATGGTGATAATGCTATACACCACCTGCTAGGCGTGTGATGAGCAGCAGAGGGCTGCAAAATGACCAACACAACATAATTATTATGACCTTGTTCGGTTATTCCTTGGCAAATACATCATTTCCCGACTACATTCTTTTCATCTACAATGATAATTTCAGAAACCATCAGATTTTCAACCACAAGTAAGAATTAGTAAAGCTCACATACATTGTCAACTGGAAACTCCCCAGTTTGTATATTCTGAACCATGTGCTCTCTACCAATAATATTTTTTATTAATCAGAGGTCTGTGCTTAATATGAGTGACCACTTTGATGATGCATTCAGAGATGAGAAGATGCTCAAACTTGATGTAATAAATACATCTTTAATAGACAAATAAATAAAGTCAATTCATACGAATAGTTAAAACATTACCTATAATCCTAATTTAAAATACAAATAAATCTGGTAAAAAGATCAAAATATGATAAAATGATCAAAATTGTGTAATGTATACTGACTAAATATTGTTTATCTATTTATATATATATAATTATTATTGCAGTCACATGCCATCTATTTCTTTTCAGCCTCGGGAAAGAGGGCCATATTACCAGCTGAGGTGCGCAATGCATTGTGGGGCAGAAGCAGTACGTGAAGCAAGCTCCGTTCCACACTCAGAAATCGAAGCCGATTGAGTATACATCCGGGCATTTCTCGCATACACAAA